GTTCCTAGATGATACAGCTCCAAAAGCTGCCACATCTGCCAGGGAGCATGAGAAAAAATCCCACAGCCAGCAGATCCAGAGCAGGGGGAGGGATTGACTGGGAAGGAGGGGCGAGAAGAGAGAAGGGTCAGGCTCGGGTGGGAGGAAGGGGTGGGAAGATTAAGGATGGGAGAGAGAAAGGGAGTGAGAGTTGGGAAGGGAAAGGGGAACGGCTGGGAGACAGGCAGCCCGAGGAGCAGGGCACGGGGAAGAATCGACCCCACTGGAGGGGGGGAAAAAGAAAAAAGTAGATAAACGATATCAGGAATTGCTCGTTACGACACCGAGTTCAAACACTCAGTCAAAGCAGCCGGCACGCACGGTCATTCCATCTGAGTCGCCTCCAGCCCATCCCCACACAACCACCCGCTCCGCTAGTACCTACGCGCTGCACGTAACTCCGCTCGCACGGCCGCTCGGCGATGGCAAGACAGCAGAGAGGCACTCCAGCCTCGCTCGTACAGTTTCCAGTTAAAAATAAGCTTTCCCTGCCCCCTCCTCGCTGCAGCAACCAAACTCGCTCCTCGGAGCTCGTCGCATCACTATCGCAGATCTGGACGCAGCTCCTACATTCCTCCCCAGCCGGACCAGAGATAACGCTCGGCCCCTGGGCTCAGTAAAGCAATTCCCATGGTTTCCAAATGCTCCTGCAGCTGATATGGCAAACTACTCCGGGCAGCTACAAGAGGTGGGGAGGAGGAGAGCTCTTCCTCCAGGACCCGAGGAACTGCAATATGCAGATAGAGTTTGGAGGAGGAAGATGAAGAAGATGCCAAGGAACTCACCAGTTTAAAGGAAAAAAAAACCCATAATTTCTGTAGTCTGCTATACAGGTCACTGTCACGTAGCAGCAGGAGTTAAAGAGGCCGTTAGGGATGCGTGTTGCACACACGTGTTCATGCACACGTATGTGTATCTCACTGCCTTCCACGCCTTTCCAAATCCCCGTGTTTAACCCTCCCAGGTTTCCGACCCCATCGTTAT